CTATCTAGTATTTTCTCTGCTACTTGTTGACATCCTAAGAGTAGGACGTGTGTCTAATTCTTCCCTGAATTTCTACCCTCTGGTGCTATTTCAGGCACACAGAATGTGGCCACGTATTTGAAAGGTGGATTTAAAAGCACAACATGGATATTGGCCTGTTATTTTTTTTCAATAGTATCTTTATCTGGTTTCGGTATCAAGGTAATGCTGGTCTCGTAGAATGGCTTTGGAAGTGTTCCTTCCTCTTCAATTTTTTAGAATAGTTTGAGAAGGCTAGGTATTAATTATTCTTTGGCACTGGTCTCAGCAATATCTATTTGGATATATCTCCAGCAAGAGCAACAAAAGCAAAAAAAAGGGGGGGAAATTGCATCAAACTAAAAAGCTTTGCATAACAAAAGAAACCATCAACAAAATTAAAAAGACAGCCTACTGAATGAATGGGAGAAGATATGTGGAAATGATATGTTCGATAAGGGGTTAATATCCAAAATATATAAAGAACTCTTACAACTCACCATCAAAAAAGTAAACAGACAAATTAAAAATGGGCAGAGGACCTGAATAGACATTTCTCCAAAAAAGACATACAGATGGCCAACAGACACCCAAAAAGATGCTCAACATCACTAAACATTAGGGAAATGCAAATCAAAACCACAATGAGATATCACCTCACATCTGTCAGAACGGCTATTATCAAAAAGGCAATAAATAGCAAGTGTTGGCAAGCCTGTGGAGAAAAGAGAATCCTTGTGCACTGTTGGTGGTTTTATAAGTTGGTGCAGACACTATGAAAACAGTATAGAGGTTCCTCGAAAAAATAAAACTTAAACTACCATGCAACTCAGCAATTCCACTTCTGGGTATTTACCTGAAAACTTGAAAACACTAATTCAAAAAAAGAGATGCTGCATACTTATGTTCGTTCATTAATATATTATTTTCACTAGCCAAGATACAGAAGCAACCTAGGTGTCATTACTAGATGAATGGATAAAGAGATACACACACACACACACACACACACACACTCACACACACTCACACACACACTCACTCAATCAAAATGGAATATTACTCAGCCATAAAAAAAAAATGACATCTTGTCATCTGCAACAACATGGATGGACTTAGAGGATATTATACTAAATGAAATAAGTCAGACAGAGAAAGGCAAATACCGTATGATTTAACTTACATGTGGAATCTAAAAAACAAAATAAACAAACAAAACAGAAACAGTCTCATAGATACAGAGAATAAAACTGCTGGATGCCAGAGGGGAAGAGAGTGGAGGGATGGACGAAAAAGGTAAAGGGGACTCGGAGATACAAACTTCCAGGTGTAAAACAAGTCACGAGGATGTAATACACAGCATAGGGAATATAGTCAAAAACATCATGATAACTTTGTACGATGACAGATGGCTACTAGCCTTATCATGGTGATCACTTTGTAAACTAGTTAAATGTGCAATCGTTATGCTGTACTCCCAAAAGTAATATAATATTGTATGTCAACTCTAATGAAAAAAAAATGCCAGAAGAAAAATAAATAAATAAAATAAAGGCAGAGCATGTGCATTAAACGGCTTAAATATGGAAATGAGAGTAACTCTCCCATGAGGCTAATCTGGAGAGGGCCTGACCAGCTAAGTTTAACCTGCCTGTGTGTGCTGCTCAGGACCTGGGAGACAGCGCCAAATCGCCAAACCCGTTCCCCACTGCTGCCAACAAGGGACCTGGGCAAGAAGCACCTTGATAGCAAGCACCACAAACAACTCACTCCACAAACCCCCGCTGATCACTTTCTACATGCCAGACCTTCCAGCTACGAATGTGGTTTAATTAATAACTGCTTTTTAAAAGAATACTGAAGAAAGTGGAATTCATACAGCAGGAGATTAAAAATAAAAAGAGAGTAAACTGTGCTTGCTAAATACCTAGCGTGTGTCAGTTTTACTGCACATAATATCTCATTGAAGCGTCACAACCAACCTGAGAAAAAGGAATCGTTTTCCACATCTCAGTGAGCTCTCGAAATTGCTGAGGCCTGATCTGCGGGCCTGACAACTGTAGCCTACAACTCTTGTGGGATGCAAGATTGATCAGGTAACCAGAGACGGTAAGTCGATTTGAGCACAGAGCACAGTATAGTCTAGTAATATTTCTTTATGATAGTAAAGATTTCCTGTCATAATATTAAATGCCATTTAAAGGAGCACAAATGCTGAATGTGAGCAGATTAGCCAAATTGGGGTATAAATTCCAACTCTCAGGGTTGTATCCCCGAGGCAAAGTAAAACGCCCGGTAGTGGTTACCCCCTTCCTCAACAAAGAGCAGCTTTCTAAAATGTAATCCATATAAAATATTACATTTCTTAAAATATGTTGGCTTCGGGCTAGTTGCACGTTTTCTATTGGAGTTAGTACCTCATATTGAGGTGTAGAAACTTAGGACATCTAATACAGTGAGCCAGCTAACAAACCAAAATTTAAAACAACAATGCACTTCACACAATGTAACTCATTTTACATTGCTTTTGGTCCTCACTGGTTCTTTGCTTTGCAGTGTGGAATCTTTCACCTCTGGCCTCAGCTCTGGGCGACCAGAGCAAAGAAGCAGACGTTGGACGAGTAGATGAACTTGATGGGTGTCCCTAGGCCCTGCTGCTGCCCTTATGACCCCACCAGATTACAGCTTTGTGTTTTAATCCAGACTGACCTGGAAAAGGCACGCTTCCAAGACTCCAGACTTCCACCTTCCCCTGCCCTCCTTATGTCGGAGAATCGAAGCTCCAAAAGAGTCAAGAGTTATGCTCACTTCCCACTGTGCATGATCTCTATGTAAATGTCTAATACTTATTAAACATTATGATGTGCCTGGCACTGAGCTAAGCTTACTACACAAACGATTTTATTTATATGTCGCAATTTAATTAGGCACATACTTTTCTTACTCCCACTTTACAAATAATAAAACTGATGCAATTCTCGAAGACAAATTCCACAAGGACTCTATCTTATGTTGCTACAAGTCCAGGGCCTAGACCAGTATTTTGCATATAAAGGCTCAAGAAATAATTATTGCGAAGAGTGACATCGCTGACATGGCGAAATAAAAGTTTTCTACCATCCCCCCTCAAAAGAGCATACCAATTCAGACAATCGCTTATGGATGGTGGTCCCTTTGTGGAAGTCCAGGAGTCCAGTGAAGTTCCAACGTACCATTGGAACAATATAAAATCGAGATTATCTGCGTTAAAGAAGGTAAGAGGAACAGTTTCACTCTATCCACATCACCCAGCCCCATGGTGACACAGCTTGGCGTCCAGAGAATCCTTGGCCTGCGATTTCTCCCACAAAGGGAAGTGAATGTATGTGAGCGATTGCCCAGCTTCCCCAGCTGTGTGGGATGCTGGCAAAGAGACCCAGCTCTTTCTCACCCCATTCAGAATACAGAAGTGAACTGCATGACTGCAGGGAGGGAAGCGGCTGGGAGAACAGCAGCCAGGGCTTTTGGAGGGCATCAAAGGAACATGGATCCTACTGTGTTGCAAACTCCATCAGGAAGCCCACCAATGATCCACTGGGAACACCTCACCTACAAACCCTCCCAACTGGTCTACAGTCACACCCAACGCTCCGCAACCTCACCCCCACATACCCTACCCTATGGCCAGCCCCTTGGGCACACCCCCTATGACAGCAGGTACAAGCCTTTGCAGACAGCCAGTAAGCACTTGTAGAAAGCCAGCCCAACTCTGTAGAACCGTGTAAGAGCGCACCAACTTGAGCATTCAGCACAATCCTAGGAAAGGAAATAAGAAGGCGTCGGCTCCAAGTCTGGCTTTGCAGAATGGAGGGAAGGTATCCAATGTTAATAATTCCCTCTCAAGAGAGAACAAGAATTGTGGAGCAGGAGTATCAACAGAAAACATCTGAGAAAGCCTCACAATCCCTAACAAGGATGATGGAAGGTATTTCTCTCCCGAAGTCAGTAAAGACTAGAGGAGGTGACTGCTTCTTCAAATGTGAAGACAGAACACAAAACTTTAAGAAAAATAAAACGATCAAGGAAACATGACACAATTAAGGGAATACAAAATTTTCCAGTAACCAACCTCAAAGATATGGAGATCTGAGATTTGCCCAATAAAAAATACAAAATAGTCATTTTAAGGAAGCTTAGTGAACAACAACAACAACAAAAAACACTGAAAAATAATTCAACAAAATCATGAAAAAGATAATAAAATGAGAGGTTTAATAGATGGCTAGAAATAATTAGAGATGACAAATTCTGGAGCTGAAGAATGTAAAGAATAAAGTAAAAAGATGCAATAAAGAGCATCAACAGAGGACTGAATTGAGTAGCAGAAATAATCTGTGAGGTAGAAGACAGACCTTTTGAAATTAAACAGTAAAAGGGAAAAAAGTGAAAAAGATTGAAGAAAGCCTACAAGAACTGTGGAATACCATTAAGAGAAACAATCATGTATTACTGGAGTCTCAGGAGGGGAAGAAAGGCAGAAAAGTACGAAAAGGTTATTTAAAGAAATAATGGCTAAAAACTTCCTAAAACTGGGGAAAGCTTTGAACATCCTAAGTTCACGAAGCAGGGCTCCAAACAATTTCAACACAAAAAGATCTTCTCCAAGACATGTTAAAATGACACTGTAAAATCAAAGACAACAAGATGATTTTAAAACAAGCAAGAATAAAAAGAATTCTCCACATGCAAGGGCACTCCCATGAGGCTGCGAGGGGATTTCTCAGCAGAAACCTGGCAGGTCAGCAGAAAGCGTGCTGATATATTCAGGGTTCTGGAAGAAAAAAGCTGCCAACCAAGAAGACTTTACCCAGCAAATTTGTCCTTCAGAAATAAAAGCTAGATATCAGCTATACCCCATGCTGACCTCAAGGCAGGTCCAAGTTAGTGGTTAACTGGAGACTGTAGTGTTCGGGACAATGCACAAGACCCAAAAGGACACATACCTGAGTCCTGGTCCCACTTTTACAGCTTACAAAATACCATTAGACAAGTCACTTAACTTTTCTTAGCTTCAACTTCCTCACCTGTAAAATGAAAATACATAATCGTATCTACTTTTTAGTGTGTTGGCAGTTATTCTGTAATAATACTTCACCATACCTAAAAGGAAATAGTAATTTCAACTTCACAGGGTTGAGGGGAAAATTGCAGGAGACTGTAAACTGTGAAATCACTCTCCTCACCAAAAAGAACTATGCAAATGTAAGTCAACAGCAAAAGCAATTATCCTCACAATACAGAAAGATTGGCGGGGGCTGGGGACAGATTTTTCCAACATTATACATGGTCACTGTTCCATGGCCACTTGTCAGAGAAGCTGCAGCTCTATCTGCCCTTTGTCGGCAGCACCCGCTCATTAAGCCTTGGGGCCACTAGCCAAAGCTCACACAAAGGATTTTACATCAGGAAACTTCAGGCATGGCCTTGACACCAGGATATTTGTGTCACTGTCCTCCTATCTGCAGGAGTTAGGAGTCAAACCTGGCACAGTATCCACATACACCGTCCCTCGCCCCTGCCCCCAGAACCTGGCCATATTTCCCCATCTTTGATGAAATAACGACACCTCTGTCTTCTGCTTTGGTTCGAGGCCTACGACCAAAGGGCATGACCTGATCTCATGAGCCCTCACAAAGCAGAGAGTTTTCGCCAGTTGGTCATAGAAGCCGCAGCTAGAGATTCGAAACACAATAAGTGTTCAATGCTGGCTTATGGATCTAGGAGGCCACATGTCAAGGAAGACAGGCAGCCTCCAGCTGCTCAGAGCAGTCCCCAGATAATAACCAGCAAGGACATGAGGACCTCAGCCCTATAATCTTGAAATACCAAATTTTGCCAAGAATGAGTTTGGATGATTCTTCCCAGAGCACCCAAAGAAAAACTTAGCTCAAGCTGAGTTTTTTGATTTTGGCCTCATGAGTCCCAAACAGAGACTCCAAACATGCCATGCAAGACTTCTGACCTACAGAACTGAGAGCTAGTAAATGGGTATTGTTTTGAATTGCTGAGTTTGCAGTAATTTGTTATACAACAATAAAAACTAACGTAAATATGTGAACATAAAATATTTCATGGATGTTTTTCATAGGTGAAAGTCGAAGAAAAATGAGAAATGTTTATACCATATTTGTTTTTTTAAAAGGTAGCAAAACCAAATATAACCACAATTTTGCTTAATATGTGTGCCTAGAAGAAAGACTGTATGCAGATACATCGAAATGCCATCAGACGTAATATCTGGTAAAAGGATTATTTTAAAATTCTCTCTTATACTTTTCTGATCCAATACTTCCCAAATGAAGGTATATTACTTTAACAAGCAGAAATAAAATCAGTAATACTTCAGCAAATGCCAAGAACAGAGCATCTGGTTTTGTGGGGCTGCTGAAGTATTTCAGCTAGTTTTATCAATAAGATGGCAAACTAATACCCACTTAGACAACTTCTTTATACTAATATCATAAATTAAGCTCTGTTGTGGAATAAAAATACATAAACGCAAGACAAACACAATGGGACCGTTGTGCCTCTGACCACGTTGGGGCCAGTCCCAGATGTGACATTAATTCTGAAGCCCGCACCGGCCCAGTTTGGCAGCCAAGCAGCCCAGTCTCGGATGCTGTGAATGAACTTTGGAAACGCTGCAATATTAGCCTTCGCAGCTAATCCTGCTAATGCACTCACAATCTATTTGACAAGCTGCCCATCACATCCCCTCTGTCGGGGCGAGCAGCCTTCCAAGGTGGCTGTGACAAGGGGATTACTGAGAGGACACCCCGGGAGGACAGAGGGGCCCTCCCTCCACTGCACTCTGACTAGCTTTGTAGATAGGCCGCATACCACAGAGGGCACTGGACAGCAGCTTGTCTCCGGTAGGGACCCCCTGGCACAGAGGTACCAGAGGGAGACGTTCACCAACCCAGGGGGCTGAGTGTTCCTGACAGCCAGGTCACTCCTCCAGTCTCAACATGGAGAAAGAAAACGAGGCAAGATTAAGGGAAGATTCACAGGACTGAGGTTTCTGGATCATTCCTTAATAGCAGAGCTCCCCTCCCTTTCAGAGACCCTACGTGCTAGAAAGCTAGGAAAAGTTCTGGCCTCTTGGGTTGAGTCATAGCACACCCCTTCCCCCCCGCCTCCGCCCTCTCCTCCTTCCCTCCGAGGTTCCTCGGTGAGTGGTTGACACTCCATAAAAGCCACATTTACAGCTTCGTCTTCGTTAAATTAGCAGCACTGCTTTATTTGCCTTCTAAATTTTCAGGGGGTTCATTTTAAATGTTTCATTTTATTTACAAGGTAAAATGAAAATAAAAGGTATAGCCTTCATGCTAGCAGATTATAATTATTGAGAAAAGCAATGTAGGATTTGTCCCAGAGCAAGGCGGGTTATTCCCTTTTCTGAAAAAGTCCCCTCTAGCCGGCCTCGCTCACTCTGGCGGGAGCCAGGGCACAGGCAGCAGTAAACAGTTCTTTCTAGTCCAGTTTACACATGTTTCTCATTCGCAGCCCAAATGATCAGGAGACTTGTCCCAGAAACACAGTTAACCAGTTACCTTCTTCTCCCCATTTCCCATGAAGTTTTCCTCATTCCTGTAATTGGGCCAAGGCTGTTCTCTGGGTTCCGGATTAACTAGGAACATCTCAGGCTCAGGTGCCACAAAAGACACTGGGAATGCTGAGACAGGCAGAACTGGCCCGTGTCCTCAAGGAGCCTGAGATCTATAAATAAACAGACAATGAAATACAGTGTCAAAAGTGCAATGACTGAGGTTTCTGTAGAAACACATGGGAGAGATCTCTAGGCCAGACTGTGAAGCTAAGATTCTGAGGTCATCACCCAAGAGAGTGTGGTCTAGGTGACCTTACTTTGATTGCCTTCGCCAGCTGGATTTCAGCAGCACCGCGACTGCAAGACAAACCTCTGCAGGGCAGTGGAAAGTCTCAGCCACGCTGCATCAGGACAGCACCCACAGACCCATCTGAGGCCACACTCTCCATGCTGCCATCAGCTCTGACACGCCCAGCTTCGGTCTTCCAACACAATTCAGGCGCACAAGCTTATATTCTAGCTAGTGAAGTGAACAGAAACGCAGAAGAACTTCTTACACAGCACACTGACCTCTCAAACGAGCTGCACCCTCTCCTGCTGGAAAGGCTTGAGATCCCTTGTGCAGGCAAGGGTCAGTCCCACACACCCCTGTTCCCCCTACTCCCAGAAGAGGCTCTATCCTGAATGACACACCTTGGCAGGTCACTCCAAGAAGCAGGAGAAAAACTCTGCTTTGTGCTTAGAGGTCGAGGCTAAGAGCCCAGCCTGTATCATTCCCAGGCCTGTGCTCCATACACCTCAGAGGCCCAAAGCTTTCTAGGCCCACCGGACTTAGCTGCTCCCTCCCTCCCCAGGAGGGGTTAAAGCCCAGCCCGCCTTTTCCCCTGGGTAGGGCCTCTCCTGGATGACTGGGTTACAAGGAGGCAGAAATGGACACTGTGAGTCAGAGACCTTGGTGTCTGAAGAATCTAGGTTTGGAGGCTGGTTCTACAACATACTTTATCACCTTGTGCAAATGTACACTTCTGAGCCTCCATTTCCTCAACTAAAAAAGTAATAAGAAGAAGAACATCCATGGATGTCAGTCACTCTTTTGTATGTGGTAAGGACTCAATAAATGGTAGCTCTGTAGAATATCTCTGCCCTCTAGGTCTGCATTCTGGACTTCAGTTCTCACTCCAGAATGAAGCATTCTCATGAGAAAGTGAGGGATCCCAGGCCCCTGGGGAGCAAGTATGGGGAACAGATGGGGGGTTGTTTTCAAAGGGAGGAGGACTCTCCTTAGTGTCTCTGAAATCACCTTGCCAACAAGAGTACTTTCAAGCAAGGCAGTTTCTGTTGATGACCTAAAGGCCTGCCTCCCAGGCCTGAATGGGGCATGCCCCAAGGGCCACGTGAGGTGCAAAGCCAGCTTTGCACCCACCTTTCTGGCTGCGTATCTACAAGAGGGTTTTCTGGGCACCTCAAAGGACCTGGTGCCAGCTAAGCAGGCTGAGGACAATCACCCCATTGTGGAAAACAATGACACCAACCCTCTGGAAAGGGCAGAACGCAATTCACCTAATTCCTCAGAGGCTTCACTAATAGATGCTCTCTGGTACTGACACTCCATCCCCTCCTGGCTCGTACCTACTGCACTGCTCAGAGTGACTTATACGCAGGGAAATAAACCGATATTAGACACACAAAGAAAACTCTGAATATTGTTTTATATTTTTCCTGCCAGCCAAAAGCGTGCTTAGAAAATCATGAAATGGCCTTAACATTCTATCCACAGCTAAAGTCCGTGTAGCACCTAGCTTTTGTTCACTCCGTAATTTCAGATTATTAAGATTATGACAGAAGATAAAATCTTCAGGGACTTTTTTTTAGTTCCTTGCCACGTCTAAGAACCAGTCCAAAGATGGAGGGAGATATTTGTCCCCTACAGGGGTGGAGGCTGGGAGGATTCTGTCTCCTACAGATGGCCTTGTATAGAAATTCCCATTTTAACACAGCCGTATGATTGGTGTGGTCTACCCACTACACCGAGCCCACTTTCTCTGAAATTTCAAATGCATTCGCCTTAATTGTTTCTCTAGAAATAAATATGCACGATTCAAACCTTTGTGTTCATTATTTTGAAATTTGTGTTTTTGTAATTGTTCTTACTTTGAGAGCAGTTGACTTTTACTGTGCTTCTGGGACAAGTCGGAATACCCAAAGGCTTCAGCATATCTCCTAAATGTGAGATTGATTTCCTAATTACAGCTATTTCAATCCATGGATGTCTGCTACACAGTTCTGTAGACCACGTGCAAGGCTTCCGCCTAAATCCACGTGGGTGACATAACTAGCCTTTTGACAACTAAAGAATCAGAACATCCCGGAGAGAAACATAAATTTGGTTCTCACTCATAGCAAAAATGGAGATAGCCAACTCTGTAAACGAAGTCTGAAAACTTTTTACGGTTATCTCAAGCAGTTTTTTATTTTCTTTATTCTAAGGCATTTCTGAGACCAAAAGCAGATGAAAAGCTGGGAAACTTTGCAGATCCCTTTTTAAGACTAAATTTTAAAAGGCGGATAGTCTTTAGCAATTTTATCTAAAACTATGCTATGTTTACAGCACAAATTAAAATTTTTAATTTAAAAAGCTATAGAAGATAGAAGAGATAAGTATTTTTAGTCTAACTGGCAGGTAAAGAAATGGAGGCCCTGAGATGCTAGGGAACTTGACTAAGATAACCCGGCAAAGTTCAGCAATAAACCTTGGACTGAGACAAATGTCTCCTGCTTCCTATTTCCTTTCATCCAAGTTATAAGCCTGGGCAGACTTACTGAAGTAATCGTTGTGTTGTAACAACATATATCTGGAAAAGGCAAGAACTGTTTCTCTCAATTTGCATGATGTCCATATTTAGCCTATACTCCAGCACAAGTCATAAATCAGAATCAATAAATAACATTAACTGAAGAGAAGTTTTTGCTTTAATAATTATTTCTCTCCCTGACCAAGTAAACTCTAAGAAACCTATAAGGCACAATTTTAGAAGAAAAAAAAAATCCTATCCCTTTAGGAAATATTTTGACAGTGAAGGAAACTAGCCTAATATTTTAGAAAAATTTTGATAGATTCTTGAAATTCCATTGCCAAAATTTAATGAGGCTTAAAGTTCTATGGACAAATTTATATTAAAAATTATAATCTGAAAACCAGACAAGGGAGCAGGGTGAAAAAGAAAATCATGCTCTCAGCCACCAGATACACTAGATATTTTCTTTACATAAACAAAATAATAAAGGACTCAATGTCACTGGGTCAAAACACAAGATGTTACGGCCAGTCCAAAAATATAAATTGTTCTTTTTTATTCACAGAGACCCTACATACCAACTTTTGAGAGTGGGTAAAAGTTTTATAACTTTATAATAAAAGACCACTCAAGACTGATAATTTTATAAAGTGATAATTTTGCATTATGAAATTAAAAACCCCATAATGCATTAGAGTGACAACCCGGGATTACATTAGAACAATAAAAGAAGTGATTCCAGAAAGTGAGAATTTGTGAAGAAATCTGTCACTTAGTGTATACTTCTGTAGGACCAATATTGATTCACTTACTTGACAAGGTAGATTCGAAAAGCCATGGATTACCAGTAAGCAAAGACTAAGTGGGAGCCCGGACTGTCTTTGTCTGGTGTTAAAAAGGCACTCTTACCTGCCCTACCCAGATGTAACTAAGAAGACTGAGCGGGGAGCCAAATTGTACCATCACCCAGGGTAACGAGGCCTGCCACATACCCACCAGTAGAAGCCATGTGGGAGCAACAAAAAGGGGCCTTTCCCTCTCCCTCTCCCAGGCCTGGGAGTTGTTGGTGGAGACTTAGTCAGTAGCCTGAAATCTCACCTCCACCAAGTAGTAATGCAGCACTCCTCTTAGGATGTCCAGAGAGGTCGAGTGGGGAGCCTGGACCTTCACCCCTACATAGTAGTAGGAAAGCATCACCTCCTTCTTCCCCAACCAGCAGAGCTAGTCAGAGAAGAGTTGCTCGAACAGATTTAAATAAGATCCAGAGTCTCATAACATAATACCAAAAATTTCAAGGGTACAACCGGAAATCATATGTCAGACCAAGAACCGAGAAAATCTTAACTTGAAAGAGAAAAGACAATCAACGGACATCAACATCTAGATGACACAGATGTTGGAATTACCGACAAGAATCTTAAAGCAGCCATCACAAAAATACTTCAACGAGCAATTAGGAACCCTTGAAACAACAAAAGCAGAAAATCTCAGCAAGGAAATGGAATATGCGAAGTAAAGCCATGTGGAAATTTTAGAATTTAAAAAATATAATCATTAAAATTTTTAAAAACCTCAACAGCAGAATGGAGGGGACATAGGAAAGAATCAGTGAACTGGAAGATAGAACAGAAATCACCCAAACTGAACAACAGAGAGGAAACAGACTAGGATGGGGGTGGGGGAGGAACATAACCTTGAACACCTGTGGGACTATAGCAAAATATATTGTAATATTTATTATCGGAGTCTAAGAAATAGTGGAGAAAGAGTGGAGCTGAAAAACATATTTGGAGAAATTATAGCTGAACTTTTTTAAAATATGGGAAAGAAATAATGGCTGAAATTTTTTCAATGGAAAAAGACTTAAACCTAAAATTCTGACCAAACCCCAAACAGGATGAGTCCAAAGAAATAAGAAACCCCAAAAAGGATAAGACAAAGAAAATATTGAAAGCAGCAAGAGAAATGACACCTTACATACAAGGAAAAACAATTCAAATGACAACGGATTTCTCATAAGAAACCATGGAAGCCCGAGGAAGCAGCACAACATTTTTCAGTGCTGAAAAGAAATAACTGTCAACCCAGAATTCTGTACCTGGTGAAATTATCCTTGAGGAATGAAGGAGAAATAAAGACATTCTCCAATGAAGGAAAATTAAGAATTTTTTTTTTTTTTTTACCCCCAGACGTACCCTAAAATAATGACTAAAAAAAAGTTCTCAAAACAGAAAGGAAATGGTTAAAGAAGGAAACCTGGAACATGGGGAAGAAAAACAAACAAAAAAAACAATGAAAAAAGATGGATCTTACGGTACAAAGATGCCTGGAACAGTTAATAACTCTTCCAGTTGCCCCATCCACCTTAGAGTGTCTCTGCTCATTATTAGTGTTGGCATCTCTCCAGTGACAAGGGCATACAAACTGTTCCTGATCGCTACAGCATCACACCTGCTCTGGCTCTGGGCCTTCTGCAGACCTACAGGAGCTATGTATGTGTGAGAGAGATACTGAAGATATTCAGAACTCTGACTGCACAAAGATGCTTGACTCTAACCCAGATTAATAAAAAGTAACCCAATCTCCCAAGTATATCACATTATATAAGGCAATGCCCAAATTCTCTGGAAGCTCAAATTCCCTCTCTGGTCCTCTGAGAGATAAAAGATCTAGCCATTCCTGCCCCAACTCCTCCAGCTTTCTTCCATGTCCCCTATAAAGCTTCTCATCCCATGACACTATGTACCTACAGGCTCCAAGTGGTACCCACTGCAGCAAATAACAAAAAGCAATCCATCCTTGCCCTTGTCATGACAAAACTCCTTACCTCATTAGCAAAGTTCAATCAAACCAAACATTGAAAATAAATTCATTATACTTTATACCTGCCCAGAGATGGCTGAGCTGCTAAGAGCCAGCTCAGTGTTTGGAAAAGAGAAACAAAACTCTCAACCCATTCATCCATCCATCTCACTTTTCCATGTTAGTCCTTCAGTATTCTCATCGCTGGAACCAGAACTAGCGTTGGCTAAGAAAAATGGCTAAGAATGTCATCAGATAGCCAGAGCTTCAGTGGCTGGGTGAGAGGAACATTCCTGTGATGTATCCATGTAATAGCATTGTGTGACCACATTTTCTCCAGGCTAGGATGTCCTAGCAAAAGTCAAAGATTACAGTGAGGGGTCTTTCACTCTACAGGCTGGTGTTCCTAGAGTGAAAAACCCCTACTACCTATGCAGTCACATTTGCCACAAACGTAGGCCCCGCCCCTGCCCCACACCTGGACCAGGTTTGTTTATTTCCTCCCTAGGCATATGCCACAAGGGAGTGATAAGTACAGGCAATTCCATTTCTTCACCTGACCTCCCCTCTAAACCAAACATAAAGATAACCTGTGAACTGATTAATCCATTGGTCCAAATACTTCTTTAAAAAAAAAAAAAAAAAAAAGACTACTTTCAAGTTTTCCTGGAGGTCTCCAGTAGACCACCAGTCCAGGTGATATCCTTCTCCCATCCCATTTCTGAATCCTTGGGTTATGTTAAAGGGGAGATGGGGAAAGATACTCCTAGGAATAAGGCAGCGTGGAAGGCAGGCAACTTCAGGATGCTGAGTAAGCATTTCTAATAACACTCTTCCATGGCACTTCAGAAATGCCAAAGTTATTCTGCAACACAATAGGGCCCAGTTTGGGGTTCAAGCAGTGAATATGATTGAGAAAGTATGACTCTGGCCTCCAAATTAACCGAATGAAGCGGGTGGGAAGAGAACTATTCCCATTACGGGAAGAAAACTGAGGCTCAGAGAAGTGCAGGGACTTGCCCAAAGCTTAAATGGCAGGAAAAGCTAAAACTGGGTCTTCTGGCCCTTCGCCTCAAAGGAAACACAATTTCTACTTCTTCCTCTATCGTTGACATGAGGTTTGACCCTTACCTAATATCTCATATCCGTAGTGAATTTTTCTTCTAAAACAGAAGCCAACTGGGCACAACACCAGTTTGGCTCTAGCGGCGGCCCAGAAAACTGGGCTGAATGGGTGGCGTGGGTGACCAAGCCAGTGCCCCTAATAAGTCCGCCCGGCTAGGGGCCGAGATCCCTGCCTCAGAGACTCTGCTCGAAAAGGCTGGGGGCGCACAGAACTTTCCAACCCAAGGCAGGGCCCGGCAGCACATCCCCGCCGGCCCGAACCCCGGGGACCTCTGTCGGACCACGGCTGCGCTGGATTTGAGACGCTCCAATCCCCAGCCCTCATTAACCCGGAGCTGCCCTGTTCCTCGTCCGCATCTTTAGCGCTCGCATCTGTCGATGGCTGGATGCGCCCACAGGGCCGGTGTTACCCTGAGCTTGTGATCCCTGAAAGCGGGACTCAAAAATCGGCAGCAAGTCCGCGAGACAGCCACGGAAGCCTGCGCTTCAGCGGCCGCAGCTCTGGGCGGCGAGTTCCTTCTGCGCCTGCGCGGGAGCCTGCGCGGCGGGCGGGGAGGCCTGGG